TTAACAGTTCGAAAATCTAAGAATAGAAGCCAGAATAGGGGTGTTCGTCGGTCGGTACGATACGGTATTTAGATATTTCGGTTCGGTAATTTCGGTATTCGGTTTCTTAAAATATTATACCAATACCGTACCTAATTAAATTCGGTATGATCCGATTTTTCTCCTTTCGGTTCAGTTTATTCGGTTTGGTAACTTCGGTTTATTCAGTTTGAATACTAACTAGTGCATAGAGTCATAGACTATAATATTCTTAATTAAAGTACTCAAAATTACAAAACTAATAACAATTTGTTGACAAAAGTTTTGTCCAAAACCAGCAAATATCAACCCAGAAAGAGAAACTGTTCATTAAAGAATAAATTTGATCGTTAGAATTATCTTGTTACTTGCTTAGAGTTAATTAATGAACGTAGAGAATAAAGGAAATTAAAATTTTAGGTTTTTTATATTTATGTTATAATAAATAATATATGTATGTGTAATATAATATATATTTCAGTACGGTATCGGTATTTTATTTTAAAATACAAAATACCATACCTAATACCAATTTTTTAAAAACTTAAACCAAATACACACCGAATACCAAAATATCGAATATCAAATACCAAAATTTTCAGTTTCGGTACGGTAATTCGGTATTTACCAAATTATGCACAGCCCTAGCCCAGAACCAACTCTAAAAGACTTATCTTTCTGAAAGAGTTTTCACTCTAAGAACCACTCACAAAGCTTACAATTTCAACTTACTTTCTCTATGTCAGCTGCTGATTTTTCTCTCAAATTTTTTGTGTTCAAGCAGCTCGATAGATGTGTGTAAGTTTGTTAGAGTGTGTGTGAGTGAGGAAACAACTACCCTTTAAGTAGGAAAAGAAAGTCACTTTTTGGACAGTTTGATTCACCAAAAATCTGTCCAAAAAGACTGACCTTGTTTGCCAACACTGCCCAAGGGCTGTCCAAAGGGTGAAAAGACAGCTTGCAACTTGCTGCGGCAAAAGCATTGAGTTATTTCAGCCACCCTACTAGTTAAAAGTAGGCTACTCATACTCTAAATCATGATCAAATTACCTAAACTTCAACTTTCAACCTACCAACATTACCACCCTATGTTTTTAAACCAAAACATAAGCAACCATCAAATTAGATTCAAGTTATCAACCAAATAGACAAACTTCATTTGCTAAGTGTTAACTGGATTAACAACATTTCAGCACAATTCCAAAAGCAATTTGAAACCAAACGACCCATTTGAAGACATAAACTCAATTACCACAATGGTTACAACCTAACGAGGGCTTGGTTATACACTGATCAGAACATCAAACTTACTAAACTCATAGTAACTAAACCAAATAGATATTCAAAACCAAACAACCAACAGTTAATCGATATTAACTAAAACTTTAGACAACGAGAATCGATACGAGTCAGTGTTTGTAGAAACTAAACTAGAACTATTCTAATTTAAAAAAATCAGAAGCAAGAATTACATAATTAGGAAACAGCATAAACATATAACACAAATTAAAACCTAATCCTAATTGCTAATCGAAAAAGAAACTACATCAAGCGTTAAACTAAGACGACCACTAACCTAATTTAAATTAAAAAGAGAACTACGATCAAATAGCATTGAAATAGTAAATAAAAAACACAGAGGAAAAGATTAGGGTTTTACCTAAGCACTCAAGCTTTTAACCAGTTGTACGACACAAATAGATGGCGAATTGACCTCCACGCCTCTTTTTTCTCGACGACAAATGCCAAAAAATACAAACTGTGGCGAACAAGAGTTGAGTCCGAAACTGTGTCAAAGAGAAAGAGAGACTACAAGGTCATGTTCATGCTAGAATGGAGATTTGACGCTGGTGAGGTAGTGGAAGCGGGGTGGTCGCAGTAGTAGGTGTGGAGGTTGGCGGTGGTGAGGCTTTTTGGTGACGAAACTGGTAGAAATGGATAGATCTCAAGGAGATCTATCCATTTATATATGTACACGGTATAGGGGCGGCTAAAACTCGAGGAATTTTGAGGCGGCGGATATTAGGGTTTTTTCGAATTTCGGTAGATCTGTGGAGATTGGTGGAGATTTGGAGGATTTGAGGCTTGGATTCATAGAGAGGAGGTTGAGAGGAAGAAGAGGCAAAATTTTGGGGTGGTTTGGACGACGGTTGTCGCCGGTGGGCGATTTCCGGCGGCAAAGCAGGGTGGCAATAGGAGGAGCTGGTAGGGAGAGAAGGGAGAGTGAAGAGAGGAAGAAGGGAAGAACTAAGGGGAAAATGGGGGCAAATTTCTGAGATATGAGGCTTTAAATACATGGATAGTGGAATGAATTTGGACCATTTGATCAAGAGAGATCAAACGACTGAGATTCGGTCTCTAGGCCACTAAATGAAACGACGTAGTTTCACTATGAAACTATGTCGTTTAAAGACTCCACTGGGCTGGCCTCATCATGGACTGAGTCCAGGTGCTTTTGGGCTCCAATTTTGGGGCCAATTTTGGCCCAACTCAGCTTAAAAGACATCTTAGCCCACACTCTTATTCTCTTTTAATTAACTACAAACAACTCCTAAATCCTACACATACACACATAATAAACATAAAAAAGAAAGAAAAAGAAAGTGCAAAATTTGGCATTTACAATATATACTACAACAACAATAAACAACCAGTGAATTTACACAAGTGGAGTCTGGGAAGGATAAGATGTACGCGGCCTTACCCCTATTCTGAAAGGATAAAGAGGTTATTTCTGATAGACCCTCGGCTAAAGAAAGAATGAAAAAAAGTAAAAACAGTAAGAACAACAAATAGTAACAACAGCGTAATTTTCTCTTGAAGATATATGCATCTGAAAATTCCACTAATGTAAACAAATACCATATTATCCTAATCTTGCTAATAGGCTAGTCTTTTTTATCTGCTTAGAACATTCAACTCAAAGCCTTCTCTTGCTGATCACAGCTTTTCCTTTCTGGCTATTTGTTTGAAAGGAATACACAAGTGTTTTTGGGTGCCCGTGCTCGGTGTTTATATTAGATTATATTAATTTATCATGGTTAAGTGATAAATTAAGGAAAAAAAATACATTATTTAACTATGATTTAGTGATAATCATACTCGTAGTGACATATATCATGTGCTTATTTGGTTAATAAAATATCCGATAAGAGTAAGTTTTTAATTACCGTATTTTTGGGTCTTTATTTTCTTTTGAGAAAACCATGAAATATGGACATTTGATTTTAAGTACTACTCTATAAGTGTGGTCTGGTTGACAACTGTAGTTGATTGTACTCTTGCGTCACTTTTGCTACCTACAATATTCGTGCTTTTGATCCCGTCTTCGGTTTTCAATGAGATTGGATTGGAGAAGTTAAAGTGGGATGTTCTATGGGATGGGTTGGATTCTTGGAAGCTTAACGCTATATATTAGGTTGTAAATATTTCACACCATCCTGGTGCAACATTAGTGACATGATCTTTCTGATTTAAAAGAGTAAAACAGTAATTATTTAGGTGCTCTTCTTCTGGGTGTAGTTCTCTGCCATAGATTGTCATTTTGTGCATCGGGAATCCTTTGATTCATTGCCTCTGTATCTTCAAAGGATGAATGTGAGACTGACAAAACTCACATAACCAGAGTTTATATAATATACTGATTATGTAGCCTATGGAGTCTGGTTATATTATTCGGTCATTGTGTAGCCTAATAATTTTGTTCTAAGTAGTAATTCTTAGTTGTTGTTGTTTTTTCCTTTTCTTTCAGTAATGCTAATTTTGTGTAATTGACTATTCAGGTAATTTTGGAAACCATTACTCTTGTCCTTGCTTTAAAGGTACATGTTCGGTATATGCTTCCACCTTGTAATAATTCTTCATTTCACAGCTCTTATATTTTATTCTATAAAACTGCTATTCTTGTCTATTTGGGTGAAGTGAAGTTAGTTACAAAGATCCAGTAGTTTAAGGAGTGAAATTTGAAGGAAAAGGGTTAGCTGCCTCTGACCCACCCCTTGCTATCTCTTACATGCAGCCTAATCCTCTTGAAGAATTAAGGCTTTGACGCACTTGGGATATTCCTGCAGAGGATTTCATGTATCATAGAGGTAATTTGTGGTGTTGTCTTGTAGAATGTTTTAACTTGTGTGAAGATAAGAAAGCTTTACTTGCCCAAGAAATGTACTCTAGTTTACATAAAGGAATTGTTTATTATTATTTTTAGCTGATTTGGTAGCAGCCATTCAGTGGAAAAGAAGATTCTTTATTGCTTTTCCACTGAGGATTGGTCTTTCGGTTTCTCATATATTGAAATAATTATCCCAATGACACGTTGGAGTCGAAGTGAAGCGGCTATTGATAAATGCAGTTTTAGCATGTCAGTTATCGCCCTATAAAGCTATTGGCCTCTCAACATACTACTACTATTAAAATGAATGTGCATAACTTGATTAATTCATCATCTCAATGTATTGCTAGATGTTCAGAATATATATAAAATATTACGTGATGGAAATATTTTCATACCTTGGTTTAAGAAACTCTTGATCAAAATCTAGTGCGATTTCCCCCCAAAATACATTAACTGACGATGTCTGAGATTTACGGATCCACTCTTAATTCCCTTTACGAAATATTTTCATAGCTTGGTTCAAGTATATTTCGGGTCAAAAGCTTCACATCATATTTGTTCAACATCTCCACACTTTTAATGCATATTAAGACAGTGGAATCCCTTAACCAGTTAAAATGTTGGATTTAAAGATGCGACTCATATTTTAAGCTGTAGTTATTTGTCAAAAAAGCTACTAGGGTCGAGCTCGTAGAGATAAATTTATGTGAAATGCAACCGAATAGTACCATGTCGGCGTAAAAAGAAGGTCATGGAGAGTAGGAGGGGATAGAGAAGTGCCTTTTCTTCTTTCTTTTTTTTTTTTTTTTTTTGGGGGGGGGGGGGGGGGGGGGGGTAGGAGGAGGGGGAGGTAACTAGTCTACCAATATGGTGCAGAAAAGAATACCAAGGACTCCGCCAATATGTACATGTAATTTGCTGCAGATTAATTAAGTTTTCTACAGATACAAGCGAGAACTTACACTTCCATTGCCAGTTCAAGCTTAGACGAGAATCGATTAAATATCAATGACACAAAACTGAGTACATGCGTTTAACCTCGTTTCACAGGTCTTTGAACATAAGATTTATTGGGATCTTCTGTTTTCAACTTTGGAGGCCGAATTTCTCCTTTCTTAACCTGCAGAAGCACAGAAAGTTTGTTCACTCACATTTTCTTCAGCATATAAACATTCCCCTCATATTCTTCACAGGGAAAAATATCAAGTGATTACAATAAGGTAATTTACCTTCTTTCCTCCCTTCATGAAATCTCTCCAACTGGACACCTGATGACAACAAGAAGAGAAGTTCAACTAATAGAAACATAATGCTCTTCAGTGAATTTTAGATTTTTAGAACACGTCAGCAGTCAGCACTAACTGTACTATTTCAGATAATTATGAGTATCAGGTTCAATACTGATTATCATGCTCCAAAAACACCAAAGCCAAGTTACAGTAAAATTATAACGACAACACTAGATGACGTAAACAACCTAAGTTTATAGGCAATCATCAACAACTTCCTCATGTTCACGAATCAAAAGCATCATTTGCTCGGCTCTTGTAACATCTTGCATCCTGTGTTTAGCTTAAGAGCTAAGATACCCAATGACTTGGCACAGAGTCAGAACCCCACCCCTCTTTAAAAAGAGAAGGAATTACCTTCTATCTGTTTCTGCTCATTTTAAAGCGAGACCAATAGATACTTTCATCATAGAATTTTACGCGATTAAGAGTATACACTGAGATGCAACTTTGTTGTACTAGTTACTTCAGAAATCTTATATCTGTAACTACTTTTGGAATAATCACATCAAACTTCTTTCATAACCACATCAAATACAAATACAACCAGAGGATACACAACAGGTAATACCTCGTGCAGCAAATGTACATTGCACATATAATTCTACCAACAATCAAGAAACAAGACAAATAAGTAGTTAAAGTTTGACAATGTGCAATTATTTAAAAAAGAACACACTTCAAATGAACATATAATTAGTATTCAGGTTAGCTGGTTGAAATGGAAAACCAGATATCACATAAATGAGTCACATGCGCAAATCATCACTCCGAAGAAATGCATTCAAACATAAAAACAAACATTCCAAAATGTAGCTATTGAACCTTTTCTCAAACAAGAGGAGCTGTGACCCAAAGACTAGATAATTGACTAGAAATATATAGTTTCTTAATATCTGTCAGACTCTGCGAGAGTTGTGTTTTCGGAAACAGAAAGATATACATAAAACTAACCCTCTTTTCTCTAGTTCCTTCCCACTGCTCCTCATGCTCACGCTTCCTTTTCCACATTTCTTTTGTTTCTTCCTCATCTTTCTTCAAGCGGCCTTCCTCTTCAGATATCTACGCAAACAATATCCAGACATGAAACCTAAGTAAAAATTTAAAAAGATGACAGCTAGAGGAAACAACAGGTATAAGTACCCTCATCGCCATTTTTCTTCTCCTCCATTCTTGTTCTGTCAATATTTCTTTAACCTTCAACTTCAGCTGATGCTGGAATTCTTCTGATTGCTCGTGTTCTTGGTCGAATTTTCCCTGTTAGTCAAGAAACCAACCATCTCAACTTTTTCCCAGAAAATATTTACACTGGCTGTACGTATTCTTATTTGGTCAATTGACTCCCTGATCCCTACCTTGGGGGTAGAAAACACAAGGAATTTAACAAAGTTGCACTAGCAGATACGTGAGAGAAAAGTTAGTTCGAACCACATCAAATCAGTTAGAGTGAATCAAAGGTGGCAATACATTCATGCTTCAAGGTGTTCGTGTGTTGGGAAATGATCAACACAGTTTTCAATGTAAAAAAAGAATGTCAACTTTTCTACAGATAACATCAGGAAGATAATTCCCCACTAAAATACAGGAACAATAATTTCAGCTAATAAATTGACATTCAAGTAGATGGAATTTGATGAAAGGACAATTTGAAGAGTCTATGGTAGATATTTACCTCAGTCACTAATGATTTCAGTTTGCTAGCAGTATCTTTCTTAAGCTGCTTCTTCCGCTTTGCTCTCAGCTCTTCTGTCCTCGTACCCAAGAAGGGTGAAAAATAAAGAGTTGTGTCAGTATTAGAGACGAGCGACGAAAAAGATACAACAGAATAAAGAAGAATATAGTTTCCACTAGCTTGGTAACAAAACAAGACTTGCAATACCAGGAAAAAAAAAGAATTTGCCATGTTACTCTCCCATATAAGTATGAAATACATAAATAAAATGAAGTTTTTGACAGTGTCCACAATTGAATAGTTGAAGAAACAGTTTTAACCTCCTTAAAAGATTCAACGACAATGTGACAAGCAGGGGTAAAAGGAAAACAAGAGGACGAAACAAAGAAAAGGATCACCGACCTTTTGCTGCATTAACCTGGTTCAGAATATAATCCCTCTCCTGGGGATCGAGTAATAACTGCTGGGCTTTTGCTAAAGCTGCGTATATAATGAGAATGAATTTGGGTCAAAATATTTCACGAGAACAGAAAAATTTAGAATGGTTTTAACCTACTCAAGCAGTAACATAGCAAATTTATCAGAACTTCCATCTACAAAACTACAACAAAGCTTTAGAAGACTAATTTTGACAATGATGATAGGGTTTTAACTCCTTACTGAAACACTTTATTGCTTCTTCTAATTCTGTGTGACTTGACATGTATGGCAATGTTTCTTCCAATAAATGAGCGAAATTGTCACTCCAAATAGATATTTTGACCGATGGTCACATTGCAGTGTCCTTTGAAAGTGGACTTTCGATAGTACTTGGAATTCTCTTGAACAGAAAAACCTATTCCGACGTTAGATGTCTTCTCAAGCTTTCTAAGGACAATATTTGAAGCGAGAACAATGTTCTAGCCAAAAAATCATATGATATGCTACACGGTGTCACCTTAAAGTAATTTAAACAAAAAACTAAGAAAGCT